CTTCAACAGCATATCTACAAACTTCGACGGTATAGGTATACCGTCGAAGTTTGTAGATATGCTGTTGAAGAGGCCTAAAAGCCTCTTCAACAGCATATCTACAAAAGTCTAAAGGACTCTTCAACAGCATATCTACAAAACTTCGACGGTATACCTACAAACTTCGATTTGGTCTGTAGAAAAAGAAAATACCCATAAGTTATAGTTCATCTAGTCAACAATTGCAAGATGTATATTTTGAAAATTTGGATGTAACAATTTTTTCTGTATTTTTGTTACTTCCATTTTTGTAATAATTGTTATAAAAAAAGCATTGTTGATAAAATCATACAGAAAGATTTATTAGATAAGCTTAAGAATCTTTAAAAAATTTTTCTAATAGATTTACTCGTTATCTTAACTAGTGCAGAAGAGTTCACAATATCAGTTTTTATTTGTTTTTAACATGGAATGTTCAAAAACAAAAATAAAGCAAGGTTCAAAAAGAAAATACAACTGCTCTATTAGTCTTAGAAGAATTGTTTACCTTCTTAATTATCTTATTAACAAATTGCCAACAAACCAACTGCCTTCTGTGGGAAATGTGTTGAGATATTACCTATTTTTAAACTCTGAAAAAAGCTACAGATTCAGGCCATCAAAGTTTCACATTGCGTGTCCACAAAAACGTCTTAGATTTGAACTTATGTGTTTTAAAGGAGTTTGTGTTAACCATTTTGGGATCAATTGTGTAGTTGCCGAATTATTTTTGTATGAATCAAAGCAGGTTTTGGAGATTATATTCAGAAAGGAGCTCAAGTAAGGTAATTAGTAACCTTTAAAATAATAAATATTTTTTCAGTTTGCACTTGTTTTTTGTTAGCTATGCTAAAATGCTAAAAATGAAATCAGCTAAAATGCTAAAATTTAAATCACTTGAGTTTAAAGATAAAACAAAACATAACATTCTAGTAGAAGAATTTAAGTTCAAATTAAGTATTTTTTTAATATTTCAAAATTGGATTTTGAGCATAAATTAAGAGCATAAATTAAAAGCCACGATAGTAGTATATCAAGATGTAGTAAAAATTTAGATGGATTTGAAACAACCGACTGCTATATTTGACTCTTCAACAGATGATGAATTTGACGAAAAACTTATGGGAAAAAAAAAAAGGTAATTGTAAACTACTACGTTTTTAAAAATAATTTTTATTTATAACCAAGTATTTATTTTATTTCCAGAACAACTTTATTCTTAATAGAGGCATATTAACTCAAAAACAAATTTAAATAAAAAATTTATTTATTAAACACTTTTAGATTAAAGAAAATGACAAAAATAATCATAGAGCTTACTCCTGATAAGCTTATTGAAGCAATATCAATTGTGGCAGCAAGATATAATATTGGAATATGACTTCAGACCACAATTATGTCTGCCATTATTTCCAATGTTAATTTTAAAGAAATAAACATCTCTAGGTCTTCTGATCACAGAAAATGGTTTTAGGTAATTCAATCAACAGGGGACCATCTAAGAAAGCAACTAATTGATTTACTAAAAGGTAAAAGACTAGTTCTACATTTTGACACAAAACAAGTTAAAGAAATTTGACAAGACCTTCAAATATCTGTTGTTTATGACAGATTAGCTGTGAGCGTTAGCTCTTCAGACGCTCCAGATTGCGACAATGTGTTGCTTGGGATTGTCGAATAAAAAAATGGTACTGGAGCATGCCAGGCAATTATACTAATAAAACTATTAGAATATTACGATTAGAATATACTATTAGAACTAATAAAATTATAAGAATATTACGAGTGTGTTAATCAACTGTTTGCTTGCTGCTGTGATACAACCAGTAGTAACATGGGAAAATATGCTGGAGCAATTCAATTGCTAAGCATAAAACTTAACCTCCCTTGGTTGTTATGCAAGCATCACATATATGAGCTGCATATGTCTCACTTCATGGAAGTACTCACAGGAAAGACAAAAGGTCTCCATAAAGCATTATATTTAAAGTTGAAAAAAAAGTGGAATGAAGTTTGTACAGAAGTGAACACTTTAAATAATATTGTAAAAATGAGTAGGGATAACCTAGAAGTTGATTCAGTGTTGTACATTATTCCTAAAGATGCGCTTATATTCTGTTCCAAAGCTCTGATTAAAAATACTTTAGCAAGAGGTAATTATAGAAACCTTTGCCAGCTTGTTGTTTTTTATCTAGGTGGAAATGTAACTAATTTTAAATTCCATCAACCTAGCACTTGCCATGAGGCACGTTTTATGGCAAATGGGTTTTACCTCCTTATGTTAGAAATGACAAAAAATGTTGTTAAAATAATGACAGAAAAGGAAGAAAATGAGGTACAGATAGGAAGTTTTTTTACCACCATTCTTTATGCACCATGGTTTTTAAGTCTTCAAAAGCATATGATATATAGTCTTCAAAAGCACCCAAGAATGACCTTGATGCTTTCAGGGCAAGTCTTAAAATACAAGAGTAATACAATGACTAATTAAGACAATCCTTAAAAAAGAGTATAAAATGACACACTTGGTATTTAACTCCTCAGCTTTTTGTGTTTGCAATTGGACATCGCGACGTTGAAGACAATGAAAAATTAAAGATGATTAATAATCTACTTAAATTTCCTATGCCTACATTTCATATTGGGCATTCTCAAATTATTCCAGTTCTTGATTCCGAAACAACATTATCTCTTCTGGTTAGTCCAGAGTCTTGGTATCTTTTTAAAATTATTAGAATTTTAAATAGTGAAGTTGAACAACTGATTTACGGTGGAGTAAAATCTTGGGATAATACTTAAAGTTTTCCTAAGTTCTGTTTATTTGTAAAATATCTCTCTACTACTAACGATTGCACAGAAAGAAACATCAAGCTTATACAAGACTTTGAGAAAGCATCTACAAATGATCAAAGGCAAAATATAATGCTTGTTGCAAAATATCATAGAAAAAAAATACAAGCCAAAATGCCAAAAGATCAACTCACAAAAGTATATACTTTATAACTGTTTTCCTATGCGTTTAATTTAATAAAAAAAGATTTTTAACTTTGTGAACATTTTTTCTCTCTGTAACAGTTGTTTATTTCATTATTTAGTTCTGCAAAATAAACTTGTAAGTTGGGGTTTTTTATATTTATTGAAGGAAAATTTTCTCAGTAATATGCACGTAAAATAGTAAAAAAATATAAATCTCTCTGAATTTATAATTACACATCTAGCAAAGTTGCAAATTTTGGATCAAAATTTTTTATATATTCTATCTTTATAGACCAAATCACATTGTTTGGAGGCTAAAGTCTCTTGCTTTTCAAATTTTCATTTTTTGGGACACCCTGGTGCATACTTGAAAGAAAATTTTTTTTTGAAGAAGTTTATAATTTACACTGCAATAACTTACTATTATTGAATTTTAACAGTAATAAAACAACTCAATTGATTTTTTTTGTTGACGAGTATACTCATTTTCCGTATTCTGTATAAAAAGTTCATACACACTACGGAAAACGAGTATACTTGTCTTCAATAGTCAATAAAAATAATATTAAAAATATTATTTTTATAGCTTAAATTAAATCAAAAAATATTTACTAGTTCATAGCGCCAACTATTCGCTGTATTTTAGTAACAATCACTGAATATCGCTCCTTACGCAACATGTTAACTAATTCAAGATTTTTAAAATATAATCTTTAGAGTCTTTTTTTACTTCTTGTAATGAAAACTATTCCATGTGAAAACATCCAATTTTTTCACATTACAACCTTGATACAAGAATTTTTTATAAATACAACCTTGATACAAGAATCAGATTTTACTGATTTTTCCACCAATCAAAACTTTTAAGTTATGAACATCTCCAAAATTTCATCATCTTAATTAATTTTAAAGATTGAACTATTTTAACTTTGCTTTAAATCAAAAAAAATCTGCCATTTAACAAAACGGTTTCGGCTTTTGTTTCTGTACTGTGTTCAATTAAAAGCTGAAAAAAGTATACATACTTTCAGAATATGTAACATAAAAGTGAATGATTATATCACTAATAAATTTTAGTTTGAAGAATTCAAATACTTTTTTACGATTATTTTTATTCTTAAGTTTCCAATGTTTTTTTCTAAGTTCTTTGTTTGTCTTTGAGTTTATTTGCCTTAATTTGATAAATGTCAAAATGTTTTATAATTAATAATTTTAAGTACATTTGACAATATTTTTTATTTCTGTTTTAGGAAAGACCACATTACAATTCATTGCGATAACTCTAACTAAATTATTCCAAACACATTTTGAAAAAAAAAAAAGAACCTATACATCAACATTTTTATAATTCGATTTAATCCCTGTACAATTTTAATAAATTTTTGAAATGTTATGTCAGATTTTATAAAACTACAAGAAAAAAAAAACAACAACAACAACAACTAAAGCAACAATTTGAAACTTGAAACTGTTTCAGTTTCATCACTTTTAAGTTACTCTCTGGTGCTTAATACAAGATAGGGAGATAATAAATAGATGGGTGTCAAAGAGTTTTCACACCCATCTACTATCATGTATTAAGCACCTAAGAGTACTTTCTTTTTTTTTATTTGATTTTTTTAATGTAGCTAACAATCTTTACTCTCAAATTACTGCCTTTATTGTTGTGAATTTTGGCCAGCTAATCACTACCATATCTAGCTAGCAATCCTTGTGGCCAAATAACCACAAGGATCACAATGTTTTTATCATTAAAAGTTGTTGCTAACTAGTTGCTAGCATATTTAGCTTTCTGTGGCCAAATCCTTATGTCTTTATTTGTTATATTTATTTGTTATTAATTTTTTTATAATGAGATGTCTTTATTTGTTAAATTTATTTGTTATTAATTTGAGATTAGTAAAACTAATGAGTTTTAGTAAAACTCATTAGTTTTACTAATCTCATTAAGAGTTAAAAAATTTATTTAAAAAAGTAAACATTGAAAAAATTTTGCAAAAACTTACAAGAAGCTTGCTAAGTTCAATAATAAATTCTTTTCTTTTCACAACAGCAGAGGCTTTTACTTTTTCTTCAGATGTTGAGCTATACAGTAAAACCATATTATGCATAAATTTCAAAACTTATGCAATACAATTTGGAAAACTATTATATATTATTACATATATCTAAAAAATTATGTAAAATATAGTAGAAGCTAAAAATATGTTGTGAAAAATACTTAAAAAATACAATTAAACCTTACGTATAATGAGTAAAGGGCGATTCCATGTGAAAGCATCCAATTTTTTTTGAAAATGCAACCCTAAGTCTCAGATTTTGCTGATTTTTAAACCACTTAAAGATTTTAGTAAATTATGAACATCCTGAAAATTTTACTTTCTAATTTCAATTGGTTCCTAAGATATAGCTGTTTTAAGTTTGCCTCCAACCGAAAAAAATCTGCCATTTTTAAAATGGTTTTGGTCCTAGTTTCTCTTATATGTGTGTTGAAAAGCTGAAAATTTGTACCTTTACATATTTTGGGCCAACAAACCCAATGAAACAACTTAAAATATTTAAAGACAAACATAACACCTAAAATTTAAACGTTTACCACAATTTTACTGGGGCGAGTCTAATCACAAAAATGCCAATGTAGGTCGATTTTTTATTTTTATTTTTTTTTTTTAGAAGTTGTCTTGAATAGTTAAGCTATAGTTATTACAAAGAATTGGAGAGTCTTTTCTAAAACAGAAATAAAAAAATCATCAAATATACTTAAATTTACTGCTTAAAAAACAGGTAATTTGATAAATTAAACAAGAAAAAAAAAGTGGCAATGACAGTTTTGTAACTGTGGATTTTTAAAAAATAAATGGAATCTTTTGGATTTTTAAAAAATAAATAAAATCTATGGTTATAAAATGATAAAATGATTTAAAAAAATGATAAAAAATATGATAAAAAAAATGATAAAAATAAAAATAAAATGATAAAAAATAGATAAGATGGAATCTTGTGGATGAAAAGTTTTAAATGTTGAATGTTACAAAATATGTTTTTTTCGAAAACAAAGTTTAAAAGATTTTTGTAATCTAGAAAAGGATTTTCAAGATACTTATATTTGGCGGTCTGACTTGCATGAGACTACATCATACAAAGAGATAAAGTTTATTATTATTATATATATATATAAATATATATATATATATATATATATATATATATATATATATATATATATTTATATATATATATTTATATATATACATATATATACATATATATATATGTACATATATATATATATATATATATATATATATATATATATATATATATATATATATATATATATATATATATATATATATATATATATACATATATATAAATTTAGAAGCAGAGTATAGTGTTTATTAAAAATGATTTTTTTTTAGGTCAAACAACCATATCTCTTAAAATGGCTTGTAACCTTCATAGATGAGTATTTGACTTAATAAAAATCCCGGAAATTTTTTTTCTATGATAATCCCGGAAATTCCCGGAAAATTATTTTATTAAAAATTGATTTAACTGACAAACAGAATTCAGATTATTTTAAAACGAAATTTAGATTATTTAACTTTTTACAAAAAAAGATTTCTAATATTTAAAAAAGTTTGAATGAATTAAAAAGCAAAAAAAAAAAAAAAAAGAAAAAAAATTATTACAAAAATTGATCTCGTGAAAATCTTAATTATAAAAAACATATTTGTTTAAATGCAAAAGTTGTCGTATGTAAAATTTTATGTAAAAATATATCAATTTTTTTCAAATTAATATCAAAAAACATCCGCAAATTTCTGGAAAAATTAAAGGTGTTTTAAGTGAATTTCGGGAATTTCCGGAAAAAACTCATCTATGAACCTTAAATCCAAAAATCTAGATTGTAAACACGGATGGAAATTTTGCCGCTCATGCATTCAGTTTTTGTTAAATTTTGATGAAGTTTCTGATAATAAATTGGAGTGTGAAATTGATGGTGATGTATCATTTGTTAAAGGTAAATCTTGTAATAAACAACAGTTAGACAACTCTTTAATATCAATTGAAGTCTTGCTAATTAAAGTTCATGGAGCCGCAAAGCATCAATGAGTTGTAACATCAAAAAGAAATTTAGTCAAAACCTATACAAAAATGGAAGAAAGAATAGTAAGTCCTTATGGAGTAAATATAGATAACTTAAGTATAGCCTCAACTTTTTTCAGTCATTCTACAGAAAAAAAAAAGCAAATGATCTTGATCATTTGACAACTTTAATGAAAGAAAAACTTAAAGTTGAACCATTTAAAAAAAAAATTTAAATACTAACATTTACACCTGAATCTTGGTCTGGAAAATACACTTCAGAATATTTTGAAGTTTCTCAACATCTTATATGACGTGCTAAGAAACTTAAAAGTGAAAATGGAATTCTTGCTATACTTGATAAGAGAATAAGCCAAAAAATACCTGACTTTCTAACAGCTTTGGTTCAAGATTTAAACCAACATTCTAGATTTACGCCTGGTAAAAAAGATTGTGTTAAGGTTAAAAGTGCTCCTCCACAACAAAAAAGATTATTGTTGCACAACCTTCATGAGCTTTATATTGATCTTAAAAGTAAATACCTTAATTTTATAATAAGATTTTTAAAGTTTTGTAGTTTGCATCCAAAATGGTGTATTAGTGTAAGACCAAACGGTACACACTGTGTATGTGTTTGTATTCACCATCAAAACTCAATATTGCTTGTAAATACTGTCCAATGGAATGTTACATACAAAGATTTAATGTCAAAATTAGTATGTGATACAAGCAATAATGAATGCATGGTTTATAGATGCGCCAAATGTCCAGGTTATGTTAGGTTCAGCATAAGCTATTCTGTTTTTTAAGTGATGACAATGATCATGATACATACTTTGTGTATGAATTTCAAAAGAAAATTGTAGAGTACATTAAATAATATTTAGTTAGTATAAAAACAATACTTTTATAACAATTAAATTTATTATTTTTCTGATGGATGTTCTGCTTATTATAAAAACTATAAAAACTTTATAAATCTATGCCAACATAAGGGAGATTTCAAGATTACAGCTGGATGGGTATTTTTGCAACCAGCCATGGAAAATCCACTTGTGATGGCATAGGTGGTACCGTTAAAAAAATAACAGCAAGAGTAAGTTTGCAAAGGCCATTGAGAAACCAAATATTGACAGTTGATGATATGCTTGAGTTTTGCATCACCAATATAAACACAATCATATTTTTAAAAATTACCAAAGAAACAGTTAATGCAAGGCGGCAGCAACTAAAGGAGCGATTTGAAACACGAATAAATGTTCCAGGTACCAGAAGTTATCATCATTACATACCCATTTCAAAATTTGAAATTAGTTTTAAAAGAACAACCAAACATCAATGTGTTGACAGATTTATACTGTCAAAAGCAGTAATGTCTGATGTTGTAATTGTACCAAATCTAAATGATTTTGTTGCATGCAAGTATGATTCCTTTAGATATTACTACAAATGATATTCAAATTAAGTTTATGCACCCTCATGGTCCTTCTCAAAACTTCATTTGGTCACAGAGAGATGATATCTGTTGGGTACCATTTTTGGTACCCAACAGATATCATGGATGGATATATTGGATGATATCTGTTGGGTACCGAGTTTGATTGCAGTAATCAAAGTCCCAACAACAAAATCAGGGCAAACATATAACATTGATATGAATGATTATAACACAATAACTAATGAATTTTAATTTTTTTGAGTTTTTAATTTTTAAATTTTGTAAACTACTTTTGGTTCTTGAACTTCATTCCAAGTGCTTTATTAGTTTTGGAGTCTTTGTTTTTTAAGTTTATTAAATGAAGTTTGATAAATATGAAACTAATGTTTTATAAGTAATAAATTTAAGTATATTTGAAGATGTTTTATTTCTGATTTAAGACCGCAATCTGATTGTTTGTAATAACTCCAACAAGCATTTATATAACTCTCCTCTTTTGAAACTAAAATTTTTTAGGATCAGATTCTATAAAATTACAAAGAAAACAGAAAAAGCTACTCAACAACTAAAAGAACAGTTTGATGTAACCAAAACTGTTTCAGTTACAAAACTGTCAAATTACCACATTTTGTTTTATTTCTTGTTTAATTTATCAAAATACCTGTTTTTTAAGCAATAAATTTAAGTAGATTTGACCATATTTTTATTTTTGTTTTAGAAAAGACCACTCTCCAATTAGGGTTTGCAAAAACCCGGAATATTTTTATTCCCGGGATTTGGGGCTGTATAATTAATTCCCGGAATTTCCCTGGAAATCACGACATTATTTTGTCATAATTTAATTAAGTATATTGCACTAAAACAAATAAAACTTGTCTTTAGAAAATATGCTTGCAGAAAACTCAAACTATCTAAACTATTATCACTTAAGCGACTTCTTATTTTACTGCAAAATAGTCCTGCGGATGAAAAAGCTCTTTCTGATTCTACGCTCGTTGGTTTAATCATCATTAAAAAATCATAAACTTTCTGAAGACTATCACCCCGAGTACAACCACTTTCAAACAATGACATTTCTTTCGATAATTTAGAAGTAAGAGTTTCGACTAATCTTGACAAAGAATTTCTGAGTGATGCTAAAAAACCTTTTTCTAGGGCTTCATTTAGTTGCTCACTAATAGTTTCTGGCATTTCATTACCTGCGCTTTTCGGTATTTCATCATCTTCTTGACTTACTAAATATTCAACTTTGTCTAAGGAATTTGTAGGGTAATTTAAATTTGTTACATTTAATCTACTTAAAAGCTTCAACATTACATTTTTATTTTTTATAATTGAAGATGTTACGAAAACTTTATCTATGGGCATTAACTTGTTTTTTCCGTAATGTAGATAGTGCAGTAGACTACTTAATTCAGTCTTTTGCTGATTAAGTAGTCTACTGCAAAAAAGTTGATTACTTGTTGTAGTATTCAGTTCTTTTAATTTAGTTAGCATAAATTTTAACGCGATGTCAGCAGTTATAAGGTTTGCATCGCGTCGACAAAGCGCTTCCACTTCTGCTTTTACTGGTATTAGTGCGTTTACTAGTTCAGAAACAATTTCATACTCTTGACATTTTTATAGAATCATTAATACTGATATCAACAAGCGCCTTTTTTATGCAATTTTTTAACTTATGAAACCTTTCAAGCATAGATAGTAAGCTGCTCCATCTTGTTTTACAATCTTTGATTAAATGAAGGTTTTTTCCAAACATTTTTTATGTATTTTTGAAGAGAGTCATCAACTTTAGTTAGTGATCTTTTAAAAACCATCACAATTTTTCTAACTTTATTAATCACTGGATCAATCGTTTTGTTTGTAATCATTACGTCTTCAATTATTTGATTATCCACTATAAAGCATTTCTCATCACTATCTGATTCACAGCTTTCACTAAATTCAGATTCACTTTCCAAATTTTTAGAATGATTATTAATTTCCTCGACTAAATGTCTCTGCCTACAACTTGATGCTAACGTATTACATAAAACTGAAATAATAGCCAGTTAAATACCGTGAGCAAAGCATAGTTGTTGATTAATCTGTAATAGTTTTTTAATTTTTTTCATTACGCTGGCTCCATCTGTCATTATGCACATAATACAAGCAAAAAACACACTTTTCAGCTGGCATTGTCCCTACAATCCTTACTAAACCTAAATTCCAAAAATTGTCTCTACCATGTAAATTGATATTTAAATAACGGGTATTTTGAATCGACGTCCACTCATCAAAAGAAATTGAAAACTTAGTTCCACTGTTAATTTCTTGTCTTAATTCATTTCTTATATCATTCTTTATATTGTTAGAGAAATCAAGTACCATTTTTTAACAGTGTTTGGAGATTTAGGTATGTTGACATGTTGACATTAGGTATGTTGCCTCATAGCCAGTCCAGCACATATATCAATAGAAGTGCATATAACGTTAAAAGAAATCCCATCTTTAGCTGTTAATCTTGCAAGCAACTCAGACAAGCTTTCTTCTTTATTCATATTCGATGAAAAGTATGAACTAATTTTACTTTTTTTATTCAATTGTTCTTCTTTCGATGTCGAAAATGTGCCAGTTCTGCTTTTAAATTTTTTTTATGTAACTGAAGATGAGAATGCAGAGCTTTTGTTGATCCCCCCATAATTTTCAATACTTTTTTGCAATGGCTTAGTTTACACTTGTTGCTGTTTCACTTTCTTTGTTGCAAAGAAAATGTTTACATATACGGGTTTTGCTATTGAACTCTATGAAATTTGACATAGTATCCTAATTTGACCAATCAAAGAAAAAATAATAATTTAAAAACAATTTTAACTTTCTTATCAAGGTAAAATTTTAAAGTTTAATAAATTTATATACACTCTGTTGTTACAAAAACACAATATAAATCAATACAAACAAATTTTTTTTTTTTTCTCAATATTGTTATTATTATTTTAATTATTTATATCATTATTATAATTTAGTTTTAATAATTAAGATCAGTTTCTTACTATTTCCTCATAAACGCGCCAGTAGTGATAACAATATTTAAGATTTATTTAACTAACTTTAAACTTATAAATCAATAATGAAAACATTGCATTGCATTACTAAATATTAAAGCTTTGTTGTTACTTTTGTTTTATTTGACGCAATTTTAACACAGGTATTATTCGTAGTTTTATAAATTCTAAATCCCGGGATATTTTTGAAATAATCCCGGGAATTCGGGGTTAAAAAATTAGGCGGGGTCCCGGGATTTCGAGATCCAGGATTGCAAACCCTATCTCCAATTCTTTGTAATAACTATAACTTAACTATTCAGGACAACTTCTAAAAAAAAAAAATCGTACTACATCAGCATTTTTGTGATTGGACTCGCCCCAGTAAAATTGTGGTAAATGTTTAAATTTTAGGTGTTATGTTAGTCTTTAAATATTTTAAGTTGTTTCATTGGATTTGTTGGCCTAAAATATGTAAAGGTACAAATTTTCAGCTTTTCAACACACATATAAGAGAAACTAGGACCAAAACCATTTTAAAAATGGCAGATTATTTTTGGTGGAGGCAAACTTAAAACAGCTATATCTTAGGAACCGATTGAAATTAGACAACAAAATTTTCAGGATGTTCATAATTTACTAAAATCTTTAAGTGGTTTAAAAATCAGCAAAATCTGAGACTTAGGGTTGCATGCCCTGGATGTTTTCACATGGAATCACCCTAAACCAACATCTGGCACTATCCTTTAATGCCATATATTGGGATGGTGCCATATATGGCACTATAAATTATGTGCAGTTCTCTCAAAATATGATTTTGATTGTATTGAAAATGGAGCAAATAAACAATATAAAAAAAACTGAAATGTTTCTTTATTTACAGATGTTATTTAATGTAACAAATCATATATCACTTCAATTCATACAGTTTAATTGTAAATTTTTTAATATCTTTTGTATCTTCTCTATTTTAAAAGCTTTTACATACACTTTGTTCTCTTTGTGAAGTGAATAGCATTATTGACCTAGTATTGCATTGTTATTACTTAGAATTGTCTATCACTTTGATATACTAGTAAACAATTTGGTTGTTTACCTCAGATAGTAAACAATTTGGTTGTTTACATCAGATAGTTGTATCAAAGTTTGAGGCATTATTGTTGGTCAAAAACCTAGTCAAAGCAAACTTAAAATCTTAATGTTTTTTTACTATAAAAAACATGGCAAACTGTTGATTGCTTGTTTTAAATGGGTAAACAGATGTCAAATGTAAAAAGAATTTTTTTGATTTTTATGGTTTTAAAATGATTTTTAATTATTTATACAATAAATTCAATTTAAAATATTAATTAATTAAACAATTTTCATCTTAATTAACCTATACCATTTTCATCATAAAAAAATATTACTTTGGAAGCTTGAAAGAGTCAAGGCCATTAAAAATAAAATCACCAGCCTGATTTAGTTCAATTTTGACTGCTTCCTAGAAATAAAAATGAAATTAAAAAAACATTTATCAAAAAATTATCTCATAAATAAAAGCAAAAAAAATTCAAATAATTAAGTTAATACTGGATCAGTAAGGCAAGACCGTCCTGTCATAATATTCCATAGCTCTCGTGATGACCTAAAATATAAAAAAATTATAATAAAAAATTTTTAAGACCCTCATTACATAACATTAAACATCCAAAATAATCAATTCAAAATAAAACTAATTAAATCAAGATTTCTTGTGTGAATATGAATACATGCAAAAAACTATAAGTTTTTTGCATGTATTCACATACAAATGAACAAATAACTTTATATGTTATGCTACCCTAGAAAATTTCTGGGGATTCAGTGCTGTAATTTAAAATAAATAGCAACTGCAAAATAAATTATGATTAAACCAAGAAAGTTTTTGAAAGTAGTAAACTTATATAATTGCCCATACAAATGGAGACGGATAAAGGTGGGGAGGCAAAGAATTTTGCTCTTGACGCTTTAAATTTTGACAAAGTTTGGCATGCTGGTCTTCTCCATAAGTTTGCTTTATATGGTGTACCTAAGAATTTTTTTGAGATTACTAAATCAATTCTTTCTAACCACAATATAAAAGTCATCCTCAAAGATCGAAACTCTTCTTTATTTCCAGTTACTTTTGGGGTGGCACAAGGTTCTATCCTTGTTCCTGTATATTTTTTTTGTTCCTTATTTGTTATTTGATCTTGTCTACATTAACAATCTTACTGACAATCTATCATCTAAAGTGGCTCTATTTGCTGACAACTCAACTTTATACTCCTGTCTTGACACAAAGTTATCACTTTTTATTTCCAAGAAAAGGCAGTCGAACTTAAATCTAGTTTCTCTTCTGTAAGAAATTAGAACTATAGCAATATTGTCAACATTCCTATATTGATGAATGTTAGCTTCTGCTGATGTTGTCTCATTATTGTGCTCCCTTTTTTATTTAATCCCTTACCTATAAAACTTATTTGTCCCTGTATGGAATATTATTGTCAAATTTGGGCTGGTTCTACTAATAAAGCTTTTTCTTTTCTGGCCGAGGTCAAAAAACACATTATAAATGTAGTAGTCCTGTTTTATCTGCCAAGATTGAGCCACTCCACCAAGGTTGCATCTCTTTTGTTTTTCTACTAAAACTATGATTGTTGCTGCTTAAACAAGCTATTATCTCTAGTTCCATCAACCAAAATTCATAATTGCTTGACTGGTCATTTAGCAGTCACATTTTTTAACTGCGTTTGTTGCTTCATGCTCTAAAAACTTTCATCAATCAAAGTCCAATATATACTGGGATCATCTATAATATATGTATAATTTAATATTGAACAAAAATATTTTATATTTTATATCTTTTTTTTATTATTATTAATATTATTAAATTCAAATTATCCTAGCAATTTTAATTTGTGAATTTAACTGAAATTAATTTATTTTTATGGTAAACTGAATTGAAATTTAAACTAAAGATAAGAAAAACATTTTTTTGTGAACAGAGAAATAGTAACTAAAATGTTATTTTAAAACTTGTTAAACTTGGATATTCCTGATTGTTTTTAAAAACAATGGTTAAATTTTAAACAAGTTAAATTATGAACTTACTTTACAGTTAGTCCCAGAATGCTTAAGTAAAAGCTTTAGAAACTAACACTTAAATCTTCACATAGGAATTTGAAAAATTTAGTTTTCAGTTATATTTTTATATTGACAATCAAAAAAGATTCAATGAATTTGTAAGAGTGGAAATAACGCGAAGTTTTAGTTTGATGTTTTTATCAGAGCTGCATTAGCTGCAATATCATGAAGTGATAAAAAGTGAAAAATAGTCTTTTTATAAACACTATATGAAAACTTAATATATTTATACCATAAAACATTAAGACTTAAAACATCAAGGCCCAAAAGTTCATTGAGTAATTTTTTTTTTTTTTTTTTTGCAGGAGAATAAGTTTAGCACAATATTTCCAGGAAAGTGGTGGGTTTACACTTTACTAATATATTGAATATATACTGATCAAATGCATTAAACTATGTGTTTAATAGAGAGTTTAACACTAGTTTTATGATAAATACCAACACTTTTTTGTGCAAATTGACCCTTTTAAATTTTTAATATAATATATGAATATGTTATTAAAAAAATAATATATAAAAATAGTAACTCAGCAAATAGAAAATTCTGAAAAAAAAAATCTCTAACACTATCCCTATTCACCCAAAATAACACTATAACTAAATTATCAGTGAGTGATTCAGAAATGGTAGTTAGGAAAAGTTTGATGATTCAGGAATAACAAAGTATATGAAACACTGTTTGACTTTGAAAAAGCAGGGAGTGTAAAAATCTTTGATGACATCTGTTGTAGCTGTTTAAAAGACAATCACAGTAACAATTAAAATAAAGAATGCAGCGAATGATATTTTTGGAAATATATAAGTTAAAAAAAAACGAGGTATTGAAGATAGATAATTAATGGCTATATTAACTGTAGAACTATCAAAGTTGATCCTAAATTTAGAAGAAAATAGAAAAAATAACGATAAGAGATGAGTGTTGTAAATTAAAGGGAAAAAAATCAAAAAATTATATATTGATATTGACCACGTGTAAAGTCGGAGTTTCTGTCATTTGTAAACCATTCAAATTTGTATACATAAATTTCTATTTTTTTTTTAGTTACTTACATCATTTTTTTTTTCCAGGTTAATTCACATATAAAAGTATTTAGTACAATATTAATTTGAGTAAATAACTTAGGAGGTGTTTGTTATTCTAACTCAAAACTCGCGGTTTTTAGGTTGTTTTTTTTTTATTTATTTCTTTGAGTAATGCCGTTAAAAAAGAAGACGAGAATTCTAAAGCAGAATGAAGGAACAGTTCCACAAATAAACTTCAAAGGTAAGATTATTATGAAGAACATTCAGGGTCAGACTGAGGGGTCGAAAGAAGACATAGATGGGTCCTTTATCGTGATAAATAATTTAGAAACAATTTTGATCATGTACCCCGACAATCAAATTATTTTATTGTTTAAAATATACAAGATTTTAATTACTCTAAACTGCAGCATTGTACCAGTTTCTTTTCTGCGCTTTATTTCCATGCTAATATCGTTTTACCCAATAACTTTATGAATAACTTGACAACAAAATAGTAAAAATACAATTTTGTTGTCAAGTTCTTCAATTCTTTACCCAGAAATTAATAATTAAAATATAGAAAAAGGTATGTATTTGCAGTATTATACTATAGCAACCAGGGCCTTTGAGAGATGGGGCAAAGTGGGCAAATTAAGCCAGGTGCCAAGCTAGAAGGGGCGCCGTACGAACAGTTGGGGGTTTTTTGTTGTTATTTTTTTTAATTAAGTGAAAACATTTTAATGATTGACAATGTGAAATTTGCTAATTTTTTGTATTTGAAGTTGAAACTTTAGTATTCGAAATAAAAATGCACAAAACTTTTTTATTCTTTTATTAAAATAAATTGTAAACTATTTTTTTACAAAAAAAATAGGATTTAGTTGAAGTTGAATTAGAACCGGGCGTGTTCCGTAAGCTCGTGCTCGATTGCGCGGAAGAAAATGCGCTGTGGTAATTATAATAGTAGCTGATCAAATTTTGCTTTGAAGCAGTTGGTACTGATAGCACTGACAATTTTTTTAGGTAGTGCGTTCCATGGGCGAGCAATGCGGTTGTTGAAGAAGTTGAAGCAAACGAAACATTTGTTGACAATTTTACGATAAAAAGCTTTACTTTTTAAAGTAGTATTTGACTATTGAAGCAAAATAGAAATTCATAGCGTCGTATTTTTTTAGGAAAATGAGACACCTAGTCTCTACTTTGACCCGGCCAGTTATCAAGTTATTTGAGTTTTTGCATCGGGTTTAGAGTAGAAGGAAGCCCTACTTTAAACTTTAAGTATTGATGTTGATTAAATATTTGGTTAAACAAGTTGAACGATAAATAATAAGTTTTATTTTAATATTTGATTATTAAAGGTTAAATAAGTTGGTTGATAATTTAAAAGAATTTTTAAAATTTTTATATATTTTTTTAGATATTGGTAGCGCGCTTGCTTCAGATGCATGAGATAGGTGGTTCAAAGCCATCTCTGGGCAAGTTTTGCGAGATCGGTTAGGAATAGTGTTTCTGTGATAAAACGGTAAAGACTTTTTGAGGCACTTAAAAAAAAAAATTATTATTATAAAAATTTAAATTATTATAAAAAAATTATTATAATTTTTTTTTTAAATTCTTATTTTTGCGGTTGCCAAGTTAGAAAAAAGAAGCTAATACTTTGTTTAAAAGGAATGTCCTTAATCATAAATTACAAAACATTTTAAGTTCTAAAACTAAATGGACACTTTTTTATCCACTCTATAAAAAACATAGAATACCACATTTGTTACCTGAACTATGTATTAAAAATGTAATGATAAAAAGAGAAAAAGTAACAAAGTTTTTAGGAATCTATATTGATGAAAATTTAACTTGGAAACATCACATTAACATTATCTCTTCTAGAGTTTCCAAATACATCGGTATTCTTTATAAAGCTAGAAACATACTAAATAAACGGCAGCTGACTTAATTGTATTATTCATTTTTTCACTGTCATATAAACTATGCAAATATTATATGGGGAAGCACTCAAAAGACAAAACTTAAAACTCTTTTTAATCATCAGAAACACGCAGCTCGCGCAATTAATTCTAAAAATCGTCTTACACACTCTGCGCCACTTCTTAAAGATATGAAAGCTTTGAATGTTTATCAACTTAATATTTTTAATATTTTATGCTTTATGGTCAAGTGTAAAGAAAATTTATCTCCACAGGTATTTCAATATCTTTATTCTTTAAAACCGAAAAACAAATATAATTTACAAATTGACAACAATCTTAACGCTCCTTTTTTTAAAACTAAATACGACGAATTTTGTATGTCCTATCGTGGACCTCTTCTTTGGAACAAAATAGTTTTACCTAATTTTGACTTTTCAATCAAACTTAACTACTCCTCATTCAAAACCAATGTTAAAGAAATTATCTTTTCAATTGAAAACATCTTTATCTATTTTTGAGTTTTTATCATTATTACTGATATATTAAACTTTATTGTATTTTGTTTTACTATTTACGAGTATTTCCATGAGTTCTTTGCAAACTTATGTATTTAATGGATTTTATATTTGTATTTTATTGCTTTTTATTACTGTGTTTTGTTAAACTTCATATTGTTTTTGTTATTTTACGAATTTTTATAACTTCATTTTAATATTACGTATTTATATTATATTATACTCAATACTAAAAAGCATTGTAAAGGGCTTCATGATAAGATCCTCATGATCTTCTAGAAGTCCTGCCGCTAAATTTGTAATATGTTAAAATTTGTATTATAGTTATTATTTTTTGGCAAAAAAAAAAAAAAAAGTGTTTCTAAAAAATTGGTCGAAAGGAATTTTACGGCGCTAAAAACCGTGCTAAAGTGACTAAAAAAGCAGCAGAAGAAGCAAAAAAAAGACAGACTTTAGAGGATATGGAATTTATAACCATAACACAAACCAAAGAAAATACCTCTTCTCCTGACACTCAATTAAGCCAACTAATTAATGTCATTGATGTAACAACTAATCAGTAAGACATTTTTGCTAACCTGTGGACGACCGCATTGTAATCAATTTTTATGTCATTAATGACATAAAAATTGATTACAATGCGTTCTCAACATTCATCAAAATATGTGATTCGAGGTGCTCTTCGCTAAAAAGATTACAAATGCGTTTTTTTACAATTTTTAACTTCTAAAAAGCTCGCTCTCTCTTCACTTGTGTGCAAGAAAGACACAATGCCATTTTATATGCAACATACATATTAGAATATGCAGAATAATAAAAACTGTAGTGATGGAAAAAACGAAGGAAGCAATTCAAACATTTGTTACAGTCATTTTTGGAGAAGCATTTCTCTAACTCAGTTTCATCAGCCTTTCTAACTAATGGAAAATAAGTTCTAAATGATATCATTTCTATTTACAGTGTTTCCTTCTGTATACCAGCAAGATTGGCTAAATCATGAAAAATATAGTTGCCAAAATGGTCACGCAAAGATGGAAAGTTATGAAGATCCACACAAGCAATATTCCTTAGGTACCAACATCATTTTCTTTAATACGATTTTTGATTGCTACAATGGCAGTACCCACAATAACATAAAATACATTAAAATCAAACCGCCTTACTGGGTCCTTAAATTCTTGCCTGCTTTTATGAATCGTATTGCACCAGGCATTGCTTTTTTTGTTAATCTATTTTTGTTGTAGCTCAAATTCAAAAGTTTCTTTAATATCTTTGTTAGCTACAGATATGATGTTAGCTAAATTTTCCATTGATTCAGCTTTCATGATAATATCAGGAAATTTTTCACGGACTGCAATGAGGCGGTTTGAAGTGATTTCTACCATCTTCAATGCAACTAGAACACAAAGCCATACGTTTGTAAATATTTTGAAACAGATGTGCAAATATTGAAAATCTGCGAATAAATAATGTCAGACAATACCGTTTTAAATTTTATACAGTTTTTCATTAAACTCAAAGACTCACGTGCAACTCAACTTTAGTCATGTGCAACTCGAAATTTATTGTATGAACTCAATTTTGACTCGTGTGCAACTTAAAATTTATTGTTTGAAGCAATGTGGTGTAATACACAAATCAGAAATACAAAATGATCTGCTTGCAAAGCATGATAACTTCTCATTTCATCTTCCAGAGCATTTTCCTTTGATTTTCAAATCAAATCAAATCAAATCAAATATATTTCAAAATAAGTTATAACATTTCAAGGAAATTTACAATAGTACAAGTACTAATATAAAGTAAATACCTCAATATACAACGTAAAGTTATAGTCAATGATGAAAGTAATAATAATAGCTGTTATTAATAATACTAATAATAGCAATAATAACAATAATAGTAATAACAATAATAACAATAATAATAGTAATAACAATAATAACAATGATTGTGATAAGAATAATAATAGCAACAACAACAACAAAAATAATAATTATAACAATAATAATAATAATAATAGTAAGGAAATAATAACAATTACAATAAAAGAAGAATTTCATAAATAAAGACAATAACAGCAGCAAAAAAATTTAGTAAAGAGTGATGGCAATAACAACGATTTAGTACGAAGTAGAATAGTTGAGAAATAGAGAATTTTTGAATGAAAAGAGATAAATAGATAGATAAATAAAGAATGCCAACCCATTCGTACTAAAGTTAATAATATTAGTATAGATAGTTCAATAATAAAGTTTAAAAATGGCAGATAAAAAACCAGAGAAATTAGATGTAGATAGATAAGTAAAGAATTTCAAAATGTTAAAAATATCAAATTAAAAACTGAAGGATTACGAATTGACATATCTAGTAAAGAATGTCAATATTAGTTGGTAGAAATATTTAATTGTATTTTTTTAACAGATAATTAAAAAGCTTGATGGTACTAGATGAGGATTTAATTGACTCTAACTCACGAAAGTTAATTAATGCGTAAAGCAGTATGGAACTAAGTGGTCGATAAACTGAATAAGGGTTTTGCATTTAGGATTGCAAACATCTTTAAAAGCCTTATTTATGATGTTTAACATTTGCTATAATGTACGGATTGCTTTAGAGAAAAACGATGTAGTTTCATTAAATGAAATTTGTAAGTAGGGCGAAGGTGTATTTGATTCACGTGGTTAGGGTAGGGTGGCATATCGTATTAAATTTTACTTAAAATACGGCTAAAATGAATTATCGTTTTAAACACTCGTGAATCAAATACACCTCCGCATTTACAAAAAGTAAGCAATAATTGTTTTTATATTTTTCTTATATTATAAAATCATATGCTTAGCTTAGTAAATTAAAAACTGCTTGCATAGTTTTGTAATATTGCTGTTGTGATATTTGTATGTGTAAACATATGCAACTGGTTAATAATGCCTAGCAGTAACTGTTAGTTACTGCTAAGTTAAAACTTAGGAGTTTTAACTTAGTCAAAGAGTTATATTATTTATTAGTTCAGTTATTCATATTTTATTATCTCAAGTTACCTTCAATTATAGGCATAGGCGATGGCATTATTAAAATGTTATTGATCTAAAAATGTGGATTGTGCCATTAAGAATATATTTTTTTAAACTTTTAAAATTTTAGAAAACATTTGCATATTTCCTTATGGAACTAATTGCTAGTGCTATAGCTCTGGGCCCCACAACTTTGGTGGCCCCGGTTAATAGAAAAATATATTTTATAAAGAAACTATGAAAACAAACTTTTTTAAACTTTTTATAAAATAGCTCCGGGCTCAAAAATTCTCAATCCACTTCCATAGTACATTATATTTTATATGTAATTTAAAAATAAAAATGTGCACGGAAAAGCAGTTTGCTAATTGATAATTTTCTGTCATATGTCTTCAATCGTTCGGCATAAAAAATTGTACATATGAATAGGAAGGCACCTTAACGTCGTTCATGTGCTTTAAACAAATACTTTCCAGACAGATAATCTTTATATTAATTTTAAAGACTCAGTATACAGTAACAGTTAGTACTTTTTATAATGTGGAGGTGGATCATCAGCGTATGTTCTGAATTTAATTTACACTTAATAAATAAAAAATTTCAAATTTGTTCCCCAAATCTTAATTGACTCAGAGAGCAGTTATATTCAGCTAATAATAGTAGTAATATTCAGCTTTTAATCCTTTCATTTAAATATTATTTTGAATTTTAATTCTGTAAGAGTCAATCTTCATATATTATATTCATTTTGTTATATTTCAAATATTGTCAATAGTGAAGGAAGAGCAAGTAAATATATCTCAAAAACGTTCAAAGTAACCCCAGTTTACGGTATAACATTTATAATATTTAATAAATAATTTACACTAAACTAATGCATTATATGTAAAAATTTATTACTTTCAGCATGGAAATTTTAAAAAATTGTATAAAAGAACGTTTCACTTTTTTTGTTATTAACTTTTCCTCCGCAAGGTTTCAGAAACGCCAAAATAAAAGGAAACTTTTTTTTTTTTTCTAATATTTAAAAATCTAAAAAGATTTTTTTTCAAAATAATTGTTTTTCAACAAATTATTGACAATCTCATAAAGAAAAAAAAAATTACTTCGGTACAATCTAATACAAAAAAAAAAATTATTTCGTTGGGTCTGATATATCTTATCTCAATCCATTGACAATACCATTTCTTAATAATACAACACATTTTATTTAGATTTTTTTCCAAATAACTTCTTTAATTTTTCCGAAATTTTTGTTTTAAAGTCCTCTTTTTTTTGCAAATAACGACCTAAAAGTACATCTTTGAACTTTTGAGTGATCTTCGCTTTTACTTTGTCCTTCAATTC